TCATTAAAACTTTCACTTATCATTGTCATTAAAGTCAATCTAGCCATTATCTTACATCTTAGAAAAGCTGGGTGGGAGAGAAGGCTCGTGAGAATCAGCACATTTACTCTAAGCCTACACTTGATCTCATTTTTTTTAAAAATTTTTAAAAAACACACTCTTGGAAATTATATTCATGGATACACATTAAAAATAAGGGCTCCTTCACAAACAGTTATGTTCCTCCTATCTCTAAAATAACCAGTTTCATGTTAACAGCCAGCCACAAAAATATACCACTAATTCAATATTTTAAGCATCGCACTAACATTACCTACACATCACAGCCAAGGGACACAAATAATAGCCTACTGTTGAAACACCCTTATAAGCTGGGACTTCCATCAACTCCCAGTATGGTGGTCTGAATGAGAAATGTGCCCATAGGCTAACAGATTTGAACTCCTGATCCCCAGCTGGTGATGCTATTTATGCAGGTTTAGGAGGCATGGCCTTGGCTTTGAGAATTTATAGCCTTGACGCACTTCCAGTTTGCCCTCTGCTTCCTGTTTGCCATTGGAGATGAGCTTTAAATTTTCTGCTCCCGCTGCCTCCTGCCATATCTCCCCACCATAATGGAATCTTACTCCTCTGGAACCATATGCCAAAATAAACCCTTTCATTAGCTGTCTTGATCATGATGTTTTATCAAAGCAACAGAAAAGTAACTAATATACCCAGTAATATATTCTCTCAAAGCACAAAACAAAAACAAAATTTTCAGGCAATGACTAGAATGTGACTTTAAAAGTTTTTAAATACCACCATGAGGCAAGGTGAAGACACCAGGAGAGACTACTCTACATCACTCCCTTGGAGTCAAACTGCACCGAACACTTGGGCAACCCTCAGCAAATTATATGGTTGTTCACACCACAATTTCTCCCTATGGAATAGAGAGGACACCTGCCAGTGTCTGAGAGGGTCAACAAGCCCAGCCTGTGAGGTGTTCTGAACTGCACCTGGCCAGGCACACCAAGGACTTAGCAAACCCTGGCCATCTGCACCGTGACCTGGACACAGTGCTCCAGCCTTCACAGACTTCCATTCCGCCCCTGCAAGCATGCTAAGGGCAAGATGATAGGCCTCTGGGATACCTGTTCCACTCATACCAGAAGCAGACTTGTCTTGCTCTCTGAACATTAAATTCTTTTCTTAACCCAACTCTCAAGTCTCTGACAGATTTTGCTTCTCCAGTACAGGCTGGTGGCACTCTCCAGCCACAGGCTCTGTCTCACTATAGTAAAAGGCTAGCAAGCCTAGAGATAAGAGGGTCACATGAAGGCTCAGTAGCCCACAGTGCTACTGAAACACAAAAATGGCAATAAAGGGCATGGACACCAAAATGACATGTCCAGAAATCTATATTCATTCTCAAAAGATAAATACATAGGTAAATGAGTATAGGAAGAATGGCAGAATTAGACTTCACCCTTCTACAACACTCGGTATACTGACTGAGACAGAGACCATCAACATTAAATTAGACCTTCCTGATGAAAGGTTATTGGGGAATAAGACAGTCATATTTCAAAGTATTACTTCACTAACTTCAAACAGGAAAACAACCCTTCAGTGGAAAGACTTGGCAGATACGACCTTAATCCAACTGAGTACTACCAACAGTAGGACATCTGGCATTGTGTTTTAGTAGGTGCCAAAAAAATGAAAAACTGACAACTAAGGCGGAGAGGTAAGTGGCAAAAAAAAAGACGGCCAGGGGAAAAATGCAGAATTCTACAAGAGAGTTTAGTTGCCTTGCTTTTTTTTTTTTTTTTAATTTTTAAATTTTTCATTTTTTAAAATTTTATTATTTTCTCTATTTTATTATAAAATATTATATTTTATTATATGTGTGTGTGTATATATATATGTATATTACCTGCATACGTGTAAATGCACTCATGCTGTGCAATGCCCATGGAGTCAGAAGAGGATGTTGGATTCCCCTGGAACTGGAGTTACAGATGGTTGTTAGACACCATGTGGGTGCTGGGACTCAAACACGGGTCCTCTGCAAGAGCAGCCAGTACTTTTAACGGCTGAGCCATGTCTCCAGCCCCTGATTTATTTTTTATTTTATGTGTATGAGTGTATTGCTTGCATGTACATAAGTGCGCCCATGTCATGCAGTGCCCACAGGACAGAAGAGGACATCAGATCCCCTGGAACTAGAGCTGCAGACGGTTATTAGCTGCAATGTGAGTGATGGGAATCAAACTGTGATCTTCTGCAAGAACAGTCAGTGCTCTTAACCACTGAACCATCTCTCCAGCCCCATGTCTTGCAATTTAACAACAAAAAAACCTCAATGTCATTAAAAAATAGCAACAAACAAAAAACTGGGTGGAGGGCCATACTAAAATAACAGAGACAAAAGGACCATAATATCTAAAAGTAACTAGTGAATTCTGATTAAATCCTACATTTAAATTTAAATACAGTTTAAAAACATTTTAAGGACAACTTGGTCAATTTGAATGAGCCAGATACTAGATATGACAGAATTTTAGTTTATTTTCTTGATAATAATACTATATTCAGAGAACATCAGCCAGGCGTGGCGGCGCAGACCTTTAATCCCAGCACTCAAGTGGCAGAGCTAGGTGGATCTCTGTGAGTTCAAGGCCTGCCTGGTCTACATAGTGAGTTCCAGGACAGCTGGGGCTACAGGGGTTCAACCTGTCTCAAAAACACCAAAAAAAAAGAGACATGCTGAAGCCAAAGAGATCAGCCAGAGAAAACAAGTGTATATTTTACAGACAAAGACAGATAAAAACAGACAGATTAAAAAATAAGAATTAAAAACAGGTGAATCTAGAGAAGGATAAAGGGGTAATCACTGCATTAGTCTTTTAATTTTTATGTAGGCTTGAAACTTCAAACTAAAACGTTTAAGAAAGTCCTCCCAATCCCCCAGCCTTGGAGTGTCCTGACTGCAGCCTCAGTGTAGGTCAAGCATGGCACCAAGAGGACCCTCACCCCAAACTCCACTGTGTGCAGCGCTGCCAGGTGGGGCCTGGCAGGCAAGTCCTCTCTGCACACAGTAGACATCAAGAAGTGCCACATTCAGCATAGCTCAGTTGGGAGGCAGATTTTCACTCACTACCATCACCACTGCCTCCTCCCCACAAACAAGTAGGTTGATAGCACCGAGACAGACATGAGGATGGAGCCACTTAGCAGAGCTCTCAGGTCCAAGCTGGGCCCGTGCTGCACTGTGACTAAGCAACAACACTGCACAGAGTTCAGTCATGGAGTATGTAGAGATGCTGTTACTGTGGCTACTATTGCTCAGCTAATAGAAAAACCCACCTTATATAAAGATTAACTCATTTAAGTCTCTTAGAATGGACCCAGTTGTCAATAAAGTCCCAGTATACATTCACAACTGCTAGCTGCTAACATTCCCCCAGGTGCTTAGACTTAAGACATAAACTTATTCCCCAATCTTACACTTCTTAAAAAATCTGATTGCCGGGCGTGGTGGCACACTCCTTTAATCCCAGCACTCAGGAGGCAGAGGCAGGTGGATCTCTTTGAGTTCAAGGCCAGCCTGGTCTACATAGTGAGTTCCAGGACAGCTGGGGCTACAGGGAGACCCTGTCTCAAAAACACCAAAAAAAAAAAATCTGTAGGGGCTGGAGAGATGGCTCAGTGGTTAAGAGCACGTGCTGTTCTTCCCAAAGACTCAATTCAATTCCTAGCACCCACATCAGGTGGCTCACACTGCCTACTCCAGGGGATCTGATCTTCTGGCCTCCACAGGCACGCACACACATGGAATACACACACACACACACACACACACACACACATACACACACAAATAAATAAATAAATAAAAAGTAATAAATAAATGTAAAAATAAATCTTAAAAAAAAAATTTGTTCTATTTTCTTTTCTTAGTATTGGGACATCTGGGTATCACACAGGATACAGACTGTCGTCCTGGTAAAAAAGAGTGAGTCTAGAGACAGCAGTGGTTTAAGGACACGGAGGACACAGGATGTATTGGGAGTATGCTTGGACAGGAGTTTTGCTGATGCATCAGATGGGGGCTAGCATAAAGAAGAGGAGAGAAGCTGGGTGAAAGGAAAAATGATGACGTATCCAAGGTCTCTGGCACTAAGATGGCCTCCTCATTTCCTGAGAAGACCAGAAATCGAGTTTGAGGAAATAAAGAACTGTTAAGATAGTCTCATACTCAGGTTGTTTGACAGAAATTCAAGCAGAAAGAAACAGACTAAGACAGACGATCTGTATGTGTGCATATATACCTTTTCCCACAGTACGCCCTGCAAATGCATGCAATAAACACAAACTTTAAAAGATGAATAGAAGTGCGTATCTACACCTGTGTTTGTAGGTCACACAACTAGAAAGCTGTAGGAGGGGTTAGGGAGGAGATTCAAAGAAGGTGTGAAACAGAAAGAGTAATGAAATGCATGCAAGAGGAAAGCATAAGGATCAACTGAAGGAAGAAAGGAACCAGTGGGGGGGGGGTGAGTAAAGTACAAACTATGACACATATGTATGAAGATGCCATCATGAAACCCAATACTGTGTTTGCTAATCTAAAAAATTAATCATAAAAAAGATGCATAAGAGTCAACTGTAAAAAACTGTAGACAGCTAGATGGGGTTCTTGATGGATGCCAGGAGGACTATGTCTCCACTACACAGCCACCAAATCTGGAGTGCTTCTTGAGTCTTCCTTTACTAGACACCCACCCCCACCTCCGTCAGAGTCCATTCCCATCCAATCTCTTGAGAGAACTTCAGAGCCATCTTTAAATCTTCTAAATCCTTTGAAATACATAGCAAAATATTTAGGAAAAGAGCAATCCTTTTGAAAGGGAATAGTTTCAAATAATGGAAACTGAGATTAGAATTATTTTAACGGCAACCTATGGAACTTTTTAATCAACAGTTAAGAACTCTGAACAACCGCAACTCACTCCGTGTGTCCTTGGAAAACATTCACAGAGTGGATGGAAGGGTCCCTGAAATCCCAGAGACGGAAAGTCGTGTCACGGGAGGAAGTTACCACAAGCCGCTGGGTGGGGTGAGTACAACAGTGTGTTAACTCCTGGTCATGCCCTACAACCAAATACAACAAAAATGCAAGGTTATCCACCTGCAGACAACAATTAGAGTGCAGCGTTCATAAAAACACAGGACTAAAAAATACCCATCGTCTTCATGGGCTCCACTGCTAATATCCAACACAAAGGTAAACGTTAAGGAATTATGTAGGAATATGGAAGGTTGTTCCCTTAGGTCAAGTCAGAAGTCCCTTCAGCTATCCACTTATAAGCAGTAGGGAACCAAACACATGCATAACAAATCACTTTAACAGCCCGAGTACAACAATTTAAATCTTAACTCTTTGCTAATTCTGTAATATAATTTTGTGGGCTCTCAGTATAACATCCTCTCTTGCATCTGGGCAGAACTTGGTAAATGTATCTTTCTGTTAAGTAGAGTATACGATAGACCAAAAAGAATCCCACATGTCATTAAGGTCTCTAAATCAGTTGACCTTGTGTTAATCAAAAGAAGGTTGTTCTGGATGGCCTGTCTAACCAGGTAGGGGTGCCCAAAGGGTCAAGGTCCTCCCAAAAACTGGAGCACTAAGTCAGCAGAGACATGTTCCTGCTGGGCTAGAAGTCAGCAACCTGCTCTGTGAGAAGAAAGAGGCCTTTGGTGGGGCCACCATGGGCCTAGGGCAGCCTCCAGAGGCTCAAGGCAGACCCCAGCTGACAACTAGCAAGAAAATGAGGCCTTAGTCATATGGTTACAAGCAACTGGATAGATTCTTCCAACAGTGAGCAAGCTTGGAAGAGGACTACAAGTTCCTGAGGTCCTGCCCAGGCAACACCTTCACTTTAGCCAGGGAGGCCCTCGGCTGAGGAATAGCTACCAGAGACCCAGGAAGCCTGACCTCATTAAGGTAGTGAATTCCTATTGTTTAAGCCAGTAAAGTTTGTTTTTTTTTAAATGTCAAAGAAAAATAGAAAACCAATAAAGCAACCATACTTCAAATATCAAAATGCTAAATGCTGCCATTTATCTCCTGAAGATAAAATAAATTTAGCTGCCAAGAGTTCTAGTCATAGAAAGGATCTCCAGAACTTACAACCAAACAACCAAAAGCACTAGCTAGAATTCCAGCCTGGAAGTGATCTGTAAGCTCAGACATAAATACATAAACATAAACTGAAAGAACCCAACTAGGAAGTTCAAACAGTTACAGCAGGATACCTGTCAGAGAATGAACAAGTTCAGATGTCTCCACATCATAGAGGTTCGCTGTTCTGTCCCATGAGGCTGTCACTGCCTGCTTCCCACCAACCAGCCAGTCAGCAGCAATAACTACACCCTGGTGGCTTTTGAGAGATGTCAGCGGCATCCTAACGGTAGGGCAGTCACTGGACACGTCTCCATCAATGTCAGGCTCATCTTTATCAGAGCACTCTATTTCATCTTCTCCAGAAATTTGCTGCTAAGGGTAAAAATCAGAAAAGAAAGATTTCCTAGGACTCTTGAGTATTTCCCAGCACAGCTGCACCATCAGTCTGATCTCATTTCTCTTTCTAAGATCTAGTCATCATTAGGACCACTACAGGCACCCAAGTATAGACAACCAGCACCCAAGGAATGTTTTCTCAATTTTATGACTTGGTTATAAAGGAGGTCAAATGTCCTGAAAAAAAATTAAATTCACTATGACATCAAAAGCACTGAAATTCATTTTTACTAGTCAATAAAATGGCAAATAGAGCAATTTTCAACATTTTACCTTTATCACTTACTAGAAATTAAAGTTAAAAGTCAATGATATAATACAAAAGGCATTTCCATTCTTAGGGGCCTGCTTAGTATTTTCTTTATGTGTATGCGTGTATTGCCTACATGTATAAAAGTGCACCTATGCCATGCAATGCCTGCAGAGGTCAGAAGAGGATGTCGGAAACCCCGGAACTGGAGTTACAGACAGCTGTTAGCCACCATGTGGGTGTTGGGAACCCGAACCCAGGTTATCTGGAAGGGCAGTCAGCGCTCTTAACTGTTGAGGCACCTCTCCAGTCTCCTAGGAGCCTGTTTAAAATAGACTTAGAATTAGGAACTGGAAAGACGGCCCAGAGGTTAAGAGCACTCGCCACTCTTTCAGGACTGGAGTTCAGTTTCCAGCACCCACAACAGGCAGCTCACATCCACCTGTTAACTCCAGCCATCGTCAATCCAGTGCTCCCTCTGGCCTCCACAGGCATTGTACTCACATGTACATATACACACACATACATACACATAAATAAAAGTTTTAAAAAATTATTCTAAGTTATAGTTAGAATTGCATTGCTCTAACAATGAGAGATCAAGCCAGAGATAACATAAAAACAGAAGTCAGCCTATACTTTAGCTATTCAAGAAAATATGTCTACTGACTCAACAAATACTGATAGTGCTGTTTACACAGCAGAAAAGACAGAGGACATTGTTACATCCAAGATGATGCTCACTCTAAGTGGTAAGACTACTGGAGTAAACACAACTGGCTAAGTCCCTGCCCTCACGGAACCTTTTCTCTAGGAAAAGAGAGATTGCACACACTCACGAAATATACACGTGCACTATCAAGAATACATGTCACATGTACATATAGACTAGGATGAGACTATGTCACATGACCAAAACACACAAGGGAATGTCATGTGCATTCACACAGTATAGAAATGAATGGCATATGCAGTTGGGGTAGTGAGTGCTGTGAAGAAAATAGGAAAGGGTGAAAGGGGTAGCCAGCCGAAGGGCTACTACCCTACACAGAATCACCCAGGAAAAGACTGACAACAGCCAAGTCCGACTGTGGAGAACAAGGTCTTCCGATACTGAAGGAAACAGCATTCCAGGTAGAGGGAACGAGTGTGAAAGCCTCTCAGCTAAATAACTGGGGCTGCCAGTGAGTGCAGGGCATGTGCAAGGGTAGGCAATGGACTAGGTGAAGGCATACAACACCTGCTAGGCCACAGAAAAGACTCTGGGCTTCTTCTGCAGGTAGTGGAAAATCATCAGAGCTGTGCCCAGACATAAGATCTGAATTAACTGTGTAAACAGGGGAAAATGAAGGAAGTCTGCTGTGAGCTGAACTGTGTCTCCCACAAACTCGTATGCCAAAGTCCAACATATAGGACCCCAGAAGTGACTGTGCTGAAAAAGCCCTTAAGAGACTGTGGTGGTTCGAGTGAGAATGTTCCATAGGTTCCAAGCCCCTGGACATTCTGCTCCCTGTTGGTGGTACTGTTTTGAGAGGTTTTAAAAGGCGCAGCTTAGCTGTGGGGAGCACATCACTGGTGATGGGCTTTGTGAGTTCTTAGGGGTTGCCAGATTTCTAGTCATTCTTTGCTTCCTGAGGCTGCCTGAAAATGTGATCCCTCAGCTTTCTGCTCTGGTGGCCTCGGCCACCATCCTCCCCCCGCCATTATGGACTTTTCCTGTGAGCCAAATAAACTCTTCCTTCTATAAGTAGCCTTGGCCATGGTGTTTTATCACAGCAAAAGAAAAGCAACTAATACACAGGCAATTAAAATCGGGCTATGAGAGCAGCACCTAGTGCACCAGGACTGGTGTACTGCAAGAGAGAATACCGACGCACAAAGGGAAAGACCATGTGCGGACATCCTGAGAAGGTGAACATCTGCAAGCCAAGGACAGGGACCTCAGAGGAAACCAACTTTTCTGTCTACAGGACTGTGATAGCATAACTCTGAAGCTGAAGCCACCAGCTTGTGTGATTTGGTTATGTCAGTCCCAGCAAACAACATGAAAAAAAACAAAGTACAGGATGAGGAAGACAGCCTAGACTTGGGTAGTAATAATGAAGGTGAGAAGAAAGGCTGATTAGAGTATCTTCTGAGGAAAGCTGCAGAATTTGCTGACAAGTACATATCCAAATGGAGTGCAAGAAAAACACAATGTACAGACAACTGAAATGTGTATGGTCCAAACAAACCAATGAATGACATGAACTGAGATGGGCAGCCCCAAGAAAGCAGGTTAGGGGGACATCTAGAACCCAACTGCAGATGCACAACACCCAAGCACAAGTGCAATGGCAGGAGGTTCACATACCAGTAAATGAGGCATCAGACAAACACCCAACAAGACCCAAGAGGAAGGAAGAAATAGGAGGAAAAAAGCATCTGTTAGAGGGAGAACCACAATTAGCAAATGCAATTAGGGAACCAGAGAAGCAGCTTCACTCTCTACTGGAAGAGCTACCATGGACACTAAGCTGGCCTTAAAAAAGAGTGAGTGACTCAGGAGAGAAAGAGGTGAATACACATGACATTTTTCAATGCCACAGTCTTCAGAAGTCAATGAGATGGTCAGTTCTGGATGGACTCTGGAACACATGTGTGTTGATGGAAACCATTCTGAAGACAGAGCACACAGGATAGCATGCAGAAACATCATGAGGAAGAGAGAACAGGACTTTGATGATGGGAATGAGAAATTATCAGATTCTGCTAAAATCTGCTAAGACTGCACATTACCACACAGGGTCGAGTAGCTCTTGAAAAAAGCCACATCTGAGACACGTGGAAGGGAAGCCCAGAGATGGCAGGTACAGTCTAAGAAAGGAGAGAATGTGGTAACTTCAGAGCTCAAAAAGCAGCTGTGTTTGTTTGGGTTGGAGTGCAGGACTATGCAAACTAAGGCTAGAAAGGCTGGCAAGGGGAAACCAGAACAGACTGGAGTGTGGCTCAGGCCTATCACTTCAGCACTCTGGAGGCTGAGGCATTAAGCTTGCGGACAGTCAGAGCTACACAGTGTATGGAAAAATAGGCTCTGCAAAGAAAAGACTTTAACTCAAAGGCAAAGGGGGGAGCCACTGAAGTGTTAGCATGTACACTACTCTAGAAAGGTCACACCTGATGAACTATGGAAAAGGAGCTATGGTGGGCAGAGTCTAATTAGATCTGACTGACCAGAGAGGATGAGAGTTTGTAAACTTGGGGAGGGGCAAAAGGTCAGCAAACCCTTTCCCTTCTGCAGGAGATGAGAGCTTCACTGTCAGACTGCTGCTCAAGGGAACAATGGCTCCTGGCAAGTACACAACACCAAGACAGGAAGGGGCGCTACAATTGTGGGAAATTCCTCAGCTCTGAGCTCGGTGCCTAGATGACTCCTATCCCTAGTGCTGCCATGGAAGTGGTGAGAAGGCCCTGGTCATGAGGCTGCTCAGCCCCCATCCCTGCATCTGAGGAGCCCTGCACTCCTGTAACTGCCCTGCTGCCAGATACGGAAAGAGCACAGCTCTGGACGGCTCCATGGATAAAGGGCTCTTTGGCCAGGACTATGAACGAGTCTAGCAAAGTATGGGGTGTAACCTCTGACACACTTTGGTGTCTGTCCTGCATCTCCTAAGTAACCTATCCCCAACAATGACCCATGGGAAAACTCAGTGGTTATCTCTCTTAAATGTTGCAGAAACAGTTTCCCACAGATACAGAAAAGATTCGACAATTGGAATCAGTAAAATTTCATCAACTGACTGGAAATAGAGGAGGGAGAAGAGGAAAGAGAGCCTGGGGTGTGACAAAGAGCATTCCAAACCTTCTGGAAGGTTGGGTACCTGCTGGACCCCTGACCTAAAACAAGAGCCCAAAAGGCTACTCGATTAAAAAAAAAAAAAATGATTATAAGAGGTAAGTACCTAGAAATACAATGGAGCTACCTCCTTGGACAAGCAACACGTGAAGATGGGAAAGGACTGAGAGTTAAGACCATGTATTTGGTTTGAGTCATGTGCAGTGTTCATTATTTGTTCTACTAGAGAACCCACACATACAGGAGATATAAGCAGGGCTCAGAAGAAGGCACTGAAACTCCATGTCCGAAAAGGGCAGCGATGTTAGTTAATTCTGGACAGAAGTCCATGATGAAGGTACCAACCCGTTTGGTCTGTGGTGAAAACGCTCTTTTTACGCAGTAAGTTAACTGTCACAGAAATGGGGACAGAAGAAAGCAGGTTCTCTGGTGTCTTTCATTTTAAGGACACTAACCCTATCAGATCAAGACCCCACCTTATAATCTCATTACCTTGAACTACTTTCTTAAAGGCCATTACCTCCAATTAGGGTCATATTAGTATACAAATCTGGGGGCAGGGGAGAGATGGCTCAGTGGTTGGGAACACTGGCTGTTGTTCTTCCAGGGGACCCAGTTTAATTCACGGCACTCACAGGGCAGCTAACAACAGTCTGTAACTCCAGTTCCAGGGGAAGTTGACACCTTCTTCTGACCTCTGTGGGCATTTCAAGCATGTGGTGCACTTATATACATGTAGACAAAACACTCATACACATAAAAATTTAAAAAACATTTTGAGGAGACAGAAATATCTACAACATGCTGACCCTAGACCTCCAACCTGCACATCCTCCTTATGTTGCAAAATATATTTACTCCATCCCCAAGGCATCAACTCATTCGAGCATTAACACTAAAGTCCAAAGTACATTTTAACATACTATCTTCTGAATCATATCTGGAGGAGAATCAAGGTACAATTCATCCTGAGGCAAAATTCCTATCCAGCTATGAACCACAGAAAACAAACAAGTTATATTTATCCAAAATGCAATGGCAGCATAAGCACAGAAAGATAACTCCACTCCAAAGAATCAGGAAAGGAAGGGACAACAGGTCCCAAACAAACCCAAAAGCTTGCGAGGCAAACTGCGTTAGATCTTAAGGCTCAACAAATAATCCCAGTGAGCTCCATTCTCTATCTTTTAGACACACTAAGGTAGCATCTTCTGACAGCTCAGCTAGGCAGTCCACCTCTGTGGCACTGGGCTGAGGCATCCTGGCCCCAGAAATCAAAAAGAAGCCAAGTGCAGTGGCACATGTCTGGAATCCCAGTTCTAGGGGTGGGCTACACTGAAACCATGTCTCCAAAAAGGTCGATTCAGGTTCTGGTGAAGGCTCTCTGCCTGACCTGAAGACAGCTTCTCTTTCATTCTATCTTCACATGACAGAGAGAGGGAGGATGACAGAGGGAAAGCATGCCCCCTCGACTCTGTTATTCCGTCCTATAAGAACACCAGTCCTCTCAGGTTACAGCTGTTTGTGACCTTACTTAACAACAAGCATTCAGTCCATACATATACTATCCATTTACTATAAAATTTGCAAATGTGCTGAACTGTGCACAAGTTATCCCATACTGCTTTGTCAGAGAAACTAAGCATGCTTACACTAGTATCAGCAACAGGCTGAGGTGTCGGCAGCTGTACCACATATCTCCAGATATGAGCAGTCTGATCTCCAGAAGCTGAAGAGAGAAACGAGGGGAAAATTATCCAGTGTGCACATCATCATAAAGTGTACCTTTCCTATGCTATAGCTAAACATCAGTCAGATTTTCTAACTTAGCCATCATTCAGTAAAATGAATGGACTTTATTTAAATAATTATTTCAAAGACTATGCAAAGCTATTACGAATAGAGCATGTATACAAAATAGGATTACAGCTACTCATGAAATTTTTCCCCCTTTCATTTAAGGGTAAGGAAGTTTGGGGGGAAAGATACAAATAGCTTTTATCTTCAGTCTATGCCTGTAACAGATTCTGAGCTGTTCTGGGAAAGTGATACTTCATCTACACCCTCAACAGGACTTTAGAATGTGCCGATGTCTGTATTAGTAGTACTCTGTTCTGTGGCTTTCCTATTCCTCTCTTTACTAGCTGCAGTTTGCAAGGAAATGCTAACTAGGAATGAAAAGACAAAGGACAGCTGTAAAGGCACAGGAGACCCTCTGACCTCTCAGCATTATGAAAGGATCTGGCTTTCTACCTTCTCTTCACTAGTGCAGAGCTAACCTAAAGAAGTTACTACAAGCTGATGATAGTTACTTTTTGTGCCTGAAATCAACTGATTGCCCTGACTTGTCCATTTCTCTTCAAATTAACACAAAAATTGAGCATGATGGGACTGGAGAGATGGCTCAAAGGTTAAGAACACTGATCGTTCTTGCAGAAGACCCAGGTTTGAACCCCAGCACCCACATGGCAGTTAACAACTCCATAATTCCAGTTCCAGGGAATCCGACAGCCTCTTCTGTCCTCCGTGGACACGACACAGGTGCACTTACCTACACACAGGCAATACACGCATACACATAAAATAAAGATAATAAAGTATTAAAAAAAATACTTTAAAAAAAATTGAGCATGCTTTTAATCTCAGCACTCAGGAGACAGAGGCAGGCAGATCTCTGAGTCTGAGCCCAGCTTGATCTATATAGCAAGGTTCAGGCCAGCCAGGGCTATACAGTAAGACTTTGTCTCAAAAAAAAACAAAAAACATAAAAATAAAAATTAAATTAAATTAAATTAAAATAAAATAAGAGGCTGGAGAGATGGCTCAGCGGTTAAGAGCACTGACTGCTCTTGCAGAGGACCCAGGTTCGATTCCCAGCACCCACATGGCTATGTTCCGTCCTTAACTCCAGTTCCAGGGGAACCCGAAGCCCTCTTCTGATCTCCGCAGCATTGCAAGACACGGGTGCACTCACATACATGCAGGCAATACACTCATACACATAAAATAAAAATAATAAAATATTTTTTTTAAATCCTAAGATTTCTTCATACCAGCCTATTTGTTTTTCCTTCCTTTTTTTCAAGATTTAATTTTAATTAAATATATTTTGGGTGCACTCACATACATGCAGGCAACACACTCATACACATAAAATAAAATTTTTTAAAAATATTAAAAAAATTAAAAAATAAAATAATTTGAAGTAAACTTTCCTCTCTCTTCCCCTTATTTGTTTCAAAGTTTCTACTGACTGCTTTGTAAATGTCACTTGGTTTCACCTCTCCCTTCAAAATCATTGGTTTCTATCTAGACATATCCAACTGCTTCTAGTCTCCTTGTGTTGTTCCCCTCTGCATGTAACAAACCATAAGTATACTAGAGTTTCAATGCCTTACCTGCTTTATTCCTCAGATGTAGACCATCAGACTGGGAAAACAACTCTTAGATTAGATTTCTCACAATATCCCCCTCGCATGTTAAGACTGACCAAACCAAGAGATCACTGCATGCAGACATTAAAAGCATTCATGCTCAGGCTCCTTCATACACACTTCCACCTGCAAAAAGCACCCTGTCATCTCAGCCTGTATCCTCTCTCCTGAGGTCAGCAGCATCCAGTCCTTGGGACAAATCTGGACAGTGCCCCTTTCCCATAAATACGCAGCCATGTCCCTCCTTCAGTGCTCTGTCTCTGCTACAGAGACACACTTTCATGCTCCAATAGCAGGACTGAGAAGCTGTGACAGACACCACATGGTCTCTGTCAAAGATGAAAATATCTACTATCTGGTCCTTTACAGAAGTGTGCCAATCTTTAGTCTATCAAAAGGCAACACATATCTCCAAGACTACCATCTATATCCCAAAACACAAGGCTCTGCAGCTACCTGACAATTTTATAGGAATAATCCTCAGTACAAAAGACTACTGACCAAAAGTAACAAACAGTATACTTTTTAGACCAGTCTTAGATATAACAAACCCAAACATGAGTTTGAAAGGAGTGAAACACTGACTCTGGAAACCTGCTGTGTCTCAATGTTGTTATTTTCCTTGTTTCTTTATTTCTGATGCAGATGGAATTAGGAAATAGAGCAGTAATCACAGTGCTTCAAGGAACTTAGTCACAACCTATTGTGACTGAATTATCACAGGCAATAATAAAATACTTCATTTTTAAAAAATCGAGAATATCACAATATATTTTAATATCACAATATATTGAAATTATCTAAGTTATGGCTCCATTACTATTTTAAGAAGTACTATTCAATGTATTTTTACTTTATCTCTCATTTCATTCATAAAATATCTACTACAGATTGTCAATTTTCTTTTTTGTAATTTTATTTATTATTTTTAGGTATGTGGGTATATTGCCTGCATGTAGTTAAGTGTCCCATGTTGTGAAATGCCTGTGGCAGTCAGAAGAGGGCACTGGATCTCTTGGAACAGGAGTTAAGGATGGTTGTTACTGCCAGGTAGGTGCTGGGAACAAAACCTCGGTCTTCTGTAAGAGCAGTCAATGCTCTTAACTGCTGAGTCATCTCTCCAGCCCCATATTGTCTAATTTTCATCAACACCATGGACAACTCTGTTGCTACTAAGAAAAGAATGTTTATAACTATTTTCAGGCTATCAATGATTTTGTTCAATTAAAAAAAAAAAAAAATCAACATACCAGTAAGAGCCAACTGCTCTGAAGGATGAAATTTTATAGAATTTACTGCAAAATAAAAATATCATAAAAATAGGTTTAAGGTAACAAGAAACATGTTATCAATATTTATTAGCTACTACATGTACAAAATTAAAATTATAAAGGAACTAATTTGATTAAACTATAAATAAATGTGTAAGAACAGAGGCACAGGCACAATAGTACTAACCAAGCTGCTAAATTACAGGACACACAAAAAGCGTATGAACAGTTTATTTCTTTTTATAAACAAGGAAGTAACTCAGTTAAAATAAATCAGGGCAGACAAAGATGAGGCTATGACAACAGGCAAGAGTACAGTGACCTGACCCTGCTTACTTTCTACTCAACTGGCCAAAGCCCTACCTTGCTCCTTCCCAGCTTACAGAACCTTTATCTATTCCATGACAAATGAAACCCCAGGAGTGAACTCCACCATACTCCAGGAATGAACTGAGATTAGGTTCAACCACTTGTAATATCCTCAAATTCTTATGCAGATTCATGAGACCAAAAGGTACACTTGCTAAAGGTTTTCTGAGGAAGCTTTCATTTTCTTAATAAAAAAGATAAAGCCAGAGAACTGAGTCCCAATACCCTAGCACCCCTTCTTCCTTCCTTGAAAACATGAACTATCTTAATGGGTGGTCAGCAAGGCAACAATTATGAGCCCATGAATCTACCTGCACAGTGATAATGAAGACCAGCTCAACAGAGCTAAGCAGGCACCATGTAGATCCTAAGCCCATCTACCCACCTAGGACTTTTCTAAAGAAAATCCTAGATCTTAGAATGGCCCAAAACCACCATCAGTCAGTATGACCAAGGAGTTAAACTCAAGTCACTCTGGGAAGAACCAACCTTCACTTCCATGCCTTGTGAACAAACTGCATAGCCCTTATACAGAATGTAGTGAGAATTTTGCCAAATCTCTCTGAAATTTTGTTAGCTATGTCTTTAAACAGATGTGTTTCTAAGAAAGCACATGAAAAAAAACAGAAGATTCTAGTTTACTATCAATGCTGTAATATAGCTAACATAGAAAAGTTGGTGAAAATTATTGTCATCTTTTAAGTAATAAATTTAAGCTATAACACTAAAAATAAGTAAATTGATTTTGATAATAAACCTGAAGGGAAGATAGAGAAACAGAGAATGCAGAGAATGTGACACTTGTTCTACAAAATTCTGTTAGTTTTGAGCCCCTAGTAATATATTCTGGGCACTGTGGTCTGTTTTTGTTTTCTTACAGAGGAGAGCATAAACACAGTCCTCCACTACCACAAATTACTAAGTCGAGTTTCCCACATTTGGGGAAATCATAGGGGTTACCATATCTGAAGTGCAACAGATGAGCCTCACCCTGGGAAAACCATCTTCATGATGATGGATAGTCTCTTCCCTGCCAGGTAAGTATGATACTGTGATTATACACCAAGAAAGAAAAATCTAGTAAAAAAGAGGCAGAAGATACAAGTAATAGCAAGAATAGCTGGAGGGGGTAGGCAAGATGGTTAAGCAGGTAAGAGTGTGCAACGCTCTGACAGAGGACCCAGTTCAGTTCCTAGCACCCGTAGGGCAGGTGACAAGCACCAAGACTCCAGCCCCAGGGGATCAGACATCCTATCTGGCCTTGGTGGGCACTGCACTCATGTGTACAAACCCACTCACAGACACATATATAAGCTAAAACTAAAGTGCCAGGCAAGGTGGCACATGCCTTTAGTCCCAGCACTTGGGAGGCAGAGGCCATGGGATCTGTGTGTGTTCAAGACCAGCCTGATCTACATAGTGAGTTCCAGGTGAGCTGGGGCTACAGGGGAGACCCTGTCTCAAAAGACAAAAAAAAATCTTTTCTGGGGGGTGGGGAGGGGGATGGGAAGGTTGAGACAGGGTCTCCCTGTAACCATGGCTGGCCTAGAACTTGCTATACCAACAGGCTGGCCTCAATTTCACAAACATCCACCTGCCTCTGCCTCCCAAGTGCTGGGATTAAAGGCATCTCTTTTTTTCCTTTAATAGCTGACAGGACTGGAGAGATGGCTCAGTGGTTAAGAGCACTGGCCGCTCTTGCAGAGGACCCAGGTTCAGCTCCCAGCACCTAACCAGTAGCTAAGAACCATCTGTAACTACAGCTCCAGGGTATCTGATGCTCTCCAGTCTCCATGGGCATTTCAAGCACATGGTGCACTTACATACATGCAAGCAAAACACTCATACACATAAAATTAAAATAACTAAAAGAGAGAAGATACTAAGAAAAGAGTTGCAGGTCCAACTAGAGCCTAGACTTGGAGGCAACCACATAGATGGGCAAGAAGTGCTGAGAGGAATGAGGACTCAGTGGAGGCTTCAGCATTTTACAAGCTAAAGTTGATGCTAATACTTAAGTCTGTAAAAGTGAGCCTATGCTGAACCCCACCCAGTGGGAGTGGAGATATTCTAAAGAAAGACATTTGCAGGGCTGGAGAGACAGCTCAGTGGTTAGGAGCACTGGATGCTCTTACAGAGGACTTGGGTCCAATTCCCAGCACCCACATGGTGGCTACAAATCATCCTTAACTCTAGTTCCAGGGGAATACGAAGTACTCTTCTGACCTCTGTGGCATTGCATGACATGGGTACACTCACATATATGCAGGCAATTCACTCATATACATAAAATAAAAATAATATTTTAAAAATAATAATAGCCGTACTGGCTTCCTAGAGTTGGGGGAGATGACATGGAATGTGCCTGGGACACACAGTCTTTGTCTCGACTGACTGCCACAAGGAGTGCAGAGGAGCAGGGCCCAGGGCACAGCAGGACTCTGATCCCAGTTTGGCCAGACCTTCCTTTGTTCCTAATAATAATAATAATAATAATAATAATAATATATTTAGAAAGGGAAGGAAGGAAGGAAGGAAGGAAGGAAGGAAGGAAGGAAGGAAGGAAGGAAAAAGAATTTATGCCCCTCCCTCTGGCTATTAAACAATCACCTTTTCTTCATTTCTAAAATTAGTGTTTTAATAGTCATGTGGGAGTCCAGCTGAAGGTAACCTCCAAATATACAAGACTAACACTCTACACCTACCAGAGGAATAAACCTAGGGGAAAAGAACTCTGACAGAGGGCTGGAGAGATGGTCAGCAGTGACAAGCACTTACAGCTCTTGCTGAGGACCTGGGTTCAGTTTCCAGCACCACATGGTGTTCTTCTGCTTCCATGAGCACTGCATGCACATGACACAAATATATGCATGCAGGCAAAACACTCATATATATATATAAAATAAAAATAGTAAGTCTTTAAAAAGAGGAAATCTGGCAGGTCTGGAGTGAGTGGGATCTCACAGCCGACAAGAAAGACGTCAAGACCTCTACAACCCCGTTCCCTTCAGCTGAAACCTGAATGAATGCAGTCTGGAGCCCGGGTTCCTTTCCCTAACAGACTGTCTCACAGCTAAACTTGCATTATGTTCTTGCCTTACACTCACTGATTTCTATGAACTGTCAGATAGCCAAAGGCACAGTGAAGAAGAAATCTGACGTGGATACACATGCATGTGCACACACACACACACACACACATTTGGCCAAACCATAAACAAAGCCTTTTTTTTCTTTAACCAAGCTCTATTTCAAAATTTCTTTTGAAATACATGGAAAACTAAGGTGTTATGTTTATAGACCTACGTGCCCAGTAACAAGCCTCTGTAGCTAGGCAGACAGTGGCTATGGCAGAGGAGGGGAGTGAATGGGTAGGCAGCCTCTCACAGAACTGGATGAAGGCATTCCAGGTGGCATAAACGTCACAGAGTGCTTGAGAGAAAATGAAAAATGGAATTTGGTCCAGACATTGGTAATAACACATAAAACTGAAAAGCTGGGAAGGAGCTACTCCAACTACCAGTAATTATACAGGCCTGAATACACAATCAGTGAAGTATCCTTTACTTTACCTGACTGCATCCAAATTATTTTTACAAGTAAATCTCTAAAACACATATTTTTTTAATATTTTATTTATTATTTTATCTCATGTGTTTGAGTGTACTGCCTGCATGTATATAAGAACATTTGTATCATGCAAGGCTTGCAGAGGGCAGAAGAGAGCGTTGGAGCCCCTGGAACTGGAGTTATGGACAGTTGCTAGCTGCCATATGGGTGCTGGGAACTGAACCTGGGTCCTCTCCAAGAGCAGCCAGTGCTCTTAACCACTGAGTCGTCTCTCAATAAAGCAGATAGTTCAGTTATAAAAATTCCTACATATGGTTTATCCACAATTTTATGTAAAATGCAGACAAATAACTTGTACTCTTTAGTTTTCCTTTACACAACTCATACAAGGTAAAGACAGTTTAATCTGAATATATCACACTGTTCCTAGAGAACCAAAACCATAAAACTTTCTATTAATATAACGGCTCTTATCATGACAAATTTTAAAAACAAACCAACATAAACAGCTTCTGATTACTTTGTTTGTTTAGGTCAGTGCTTACCTGAGCCCACATGACCTGCATATTTGACAAGACATTTCCCAGTTTCTATGCTCCACAATAATGCCGTGTGATCTACAAAACCAAGAAATCAGAATTTAGTCATCACTAATTTTAGAGTCTCTTTAAAGATAACATCCTAAAAATAAGTCACACCACCCTTAATGTTCTTGTAACTTTGTAAAATTCAATTGATCTAAGAAAATGTTTCCAAGGTCAGAGAGGTTGTGACTAAAGCCATGAGGCTGAAAGAAGACAGGCAGCTTGACTTCCTTGAGGACTACCACAAAGAGCCGCCATGCATGAACCACACCCACCCATTTATATCACAGTTCTGTCATTTCAGCCAAGTGCTAGAGCTTTCCAGATACCCACAGTATCCAAATTCAATTAACCCACAAATCCAGGTGAGTCATATAAAATAATGGACCTTTACCTCCTACAGGCTTTGCAGGAGGAAACAGGATAAGCAAAGAAAAATCTAAGAAACAGATGCCAATTATCCAAATGAAATTTCAGAAATATTAGAAACGGGTTTTTACTTTTTAAACTGACACTTTCAAGTCAGTCTGGGGTGCTCATGTGTGCACACAATCTCAAACAAGAGGAGCTCTTCAGCACCGTAACTAGGTTCTCATGCTCTCCTTTACCTTCAAAAAGCAGAGTCCAGTCAGAAAGTAACTTCTCACAAGCTAGGAACAGCTAAGCATCATTTTCAATTTCAGCAATGTTTATCTGTTTATTAGTATGTTGAACTAATCTTAGCTTTCAGAAACTAACATCCTGGTGGTGAGATCCACCCTGAGACCCCTTAAGACAAACTCTGGAGCATTAAACCAGCTTCCTCTGCCAAACTAAGTGGCCTGGAAAGCATGCACTTTCCAGTTACTAGTATTAACACTTCTAGTTGTACTTCACTGCTGGAAGAAAAATGTCAAAGAGTCTCCAATCCGAAGCATACATGCTTGAACAAGAACAAAGCCAATCAAAGAATACCCAACATCAGAAAACATGTTGCCTGGGCTGGAGAGTTGGCTCAGTGGTTAAGGGCACTGATTGCTCTTGCAGAGGACCTGGGTTCGATTCCCAGCACCCACATGGTGGCTAACAACCATCTGTAACTCCAGTTCCAGGGGCCTTCTTCTGACCTCCACAGGCACTACATGACACACGTGCATGTACACACATACAATAAAAAATAATAAAATATACTTTTGAAATCCCATCTATGTGGTTTGAATATGGAGTCCCTCACATAATTAAGTTAAAGCTACCTCCTCCCTCAAAGGCCAAAGTCTATTCATAGCTGTGACAGCCTCCCACAGAACAACTCAGGCCTCAAAGTGGTTGTTTCCATATCAAGACAAATACTTTTGTTCCTGTTCTTTCCCCTCTCTTTTTCCATTTTGTTTCTGAGACAGTGAGACCGGGTTTTCATGATAGGCCATGCAGGCCAACAACTCCAGGTCCTCCTGCCACCACCCTGAGTGCTGGAGCTATGGGCGTGTACCAGCACTAATGGACCCAAAAGTTCTAGCTGCAATGGCTCCTCTACCACCTTCACTCTACCACTTCACCTTCCTCTACCACTGCCACTGTCACCTGAAAGCCACTTCCATCAGTCCTCAGTCAAAGCCACATCTTAATAAGCCAACTGTGACAGAGTCTAGCTCACCAGCAGATGCTGTCCCAAGCACCACTGGCTGTGTCCTTGCAACACTGACGTCCCAGATGCCATCCCTGTGACCAATGTATTCCTTCACAAGCTGACAGACAGCCCTTGATGTGGTGGTCTTAAAGCTGGAGACGATCTAAATTGAGAAGGAAAGAAATACTTTTAAACATTAACTGAATTGAATTTTTCTAAGTTAAAAAAGGCAAAACATCAAAAAGATGTCTTCAAAAATGTATAATTCACTTAACAGAACACTGTAAACACTAAAGGAATATAACACAAGCATGAACAGAAATGAGATGCCTTGCACAGAAAGGCTAATCTCATTCAGCTCGGAATCAGAGAACGAAGTCCTTCACAGGCTTTGGAAGATTTTCCCCACTCCACTATTCAACAGGGGTCAGGGAGGTAATGACTCTGGAGTAAGCAAAGCTGGCATTCCAAGTCACTCTTCTAGGAATCTCAAATCACCGAACAAAATTTCC